GCACTCCAGAGCGTCACATAGGTCAAATAGCCTATGTGACCTTATGGGGTGTATTTCTATCAAACAAAAAAAACCTGCATGGCTCACTCCTCCAGCGAAACTACATGAGTTACCTAACTGTTGTGGGAATGGAGCCAAATCGAATGTTCTGAGTGTATTTTCTCTTCTAGTCAAATGGTTTCAATAGGTTAATTCTTAAATAACAGAGTGAATGGGGAAAATACTGCACTCGATGAAGCTGAGGCTCATAGGAATTAAATACATGTTAGCAGTGAGATACAATGTGACAATTTAAGAACGAGCATTTAAATGTAGCCATCGCAACAACTCCGTCATATGGACTCAGGGTAAATAAAGGTACGGTGAATCATAGGGAGGGAAGAGGGATGAGGGATGAAGAGGAGGGATGGAGATCACGCATTGTCAAGTTTAATTATTATTATACAGGATTTATAGAGCGCCAACAGTGTGTGCAGTGCATTACAATATAAGGAAGACATTACAATCACAATACAATTCAAGACAAGATGGTAAGGAGGGCCCTGCCCCTGAGGGCTTACAATCTAAAGGGAGGGGCAAGTAATACATGAGGAGGTAGCTCTGTGGGGATGAATTGTTTGAGAATGTGATAGTTCATTGGTTAGGTTGAGGTGGGATAGGCTTCCCTGAATAGATGAGTCTTTAGATATCGCCTGAAGGCAGTCAGAGTGGGAGATAGATGAACAGGTTGGGGTAAAGAGTTCCAGAGGATGGGAGAGACTCTAGAGAAGTCCTGGAGGCAAGTATGGGAGAAGTTGACGAGGGAGCTGGAAAGCAGGAGGTCTTGGGAGGAGTGGAGGGGACGGTTAGGGTGATACTTTGAGACAAGGTCTGAGATATATCCGGGGGCAGAGTTGTGGATGGCTTTGTAAGTGATTGTTAATATTCTGAATTTTATCCTTTGGGCGAGTGGAAGCCAGTGGAGGGATTGGAAGAGGGGGCAGTGGATGGAAGATGGTGGAGGGATTGGCAGAGGGTGGGGGGGGAGGGGGTTGCAGACACTGAGCGGTTGGTCAGGCGGATGAGTCTAGCATCTGCATTCATGATAGACTGAAGGGGGAGGAGCCTGTGCAGAGGTCGGCCAATGAGGAGGGAGTTGCAATAGTCAAGACGGGAGATAACAAGGGAGTGGATGAGTCATTTAGCGGTTTCATTGGTGAGGAAGGGGCGTATTTTAAAGATGTTACAAAGGTGAAGGCGGCAGGATTTGGCTAATGATGAATCTGATGGCACACATTTCACAAAATAACTGGTTGCAGATAATAAGGCTGCAATATATGGCAAATGTCCCGCACAGCATCTGCAGCGGTGGATCGGGTTTTTATACTCTAGATATGTAAAAATAATGCATATTTATTATTTCATTGTTTATTTATTTCATTGTCTGCAGGTCCCCCATTAGCCGATATTCCAAGGAAGCCGATCGAGAAGGTTCCACACAAGGTGACAAGTTTCTGTGTGTGTTCAGTACAGTTCAGATGTGTACAGAGAGAGCAAAGTAACAGAAACAATGTATCCGGAAATAACCAGAAACAAATATTGAATGTTAGACTTTATTTCCCCATCCTTCTACCCTAAATCCCACGGCACCATGACCCAAGCATCTTTTGGTAAATGCAACCCAGTATGTGGCTTAGGATGGTCACCAACTTGTCCAATGTTTAGAAAATGTTTAGAAAAGACATTGGACAAGTACAATATTTACCTTAGACTGATGTGAATGTGCAACTATGTAAAGCGCTGCGTAAATTGTCGGCGCTATATATATAAATACCTGCAATAAATAATAGGTACAATTGTTACATACAAATACAAATTTTAATGTTCCCTCCAGCACAGAAGGTTGGGGACTATAGCTGGTGAGTGCAGCTTCAGCTATAGCAGTCCCCGTTCCCCTAAATCAAGTAGGTCTATCGGTGCTTGGTTACCCCAGGACTTGTTACACAATACTATAGTTCTTGGTCAAGCAGCACTAGAGGCCAAGCATGGAGAGATTAAAGTGATACCAATGGTAGTCAGGAGTATCAGATGTCTGCAGTGGATAGCGAAGATAAGTACCTAGTGAGTAGCAAAATCCTGAGTCAACAGAGGTTACAGCTTGAAGCAATAAGTAGCATAATGCAGGACAGGCTGCAGACAATAGGGTTATCCTAGGACAGGCAGAGGTCAGGGCAGGCTGCAAACAAAGGGTAATCCTAGGACTGGCAGAGGTCAGGGAAGGCTGCAGGCAATAGGGTAATCCTAGGACAGGCAGGGATCATGACAGGCTGCAGACAATAGGGTAATCCTAGGACAGGCAGAGGTCAGGGCAGGCTCCAGGCAATAGGGCAATCCAGGGATAGGCAGAAGTCAGGGCAGGCTGCAGACAATGCGGCAATCCAGGGATAGGCAGAAGTCAGGGCAGGCTGCAGACAATGCGGCAATCCAGGGATGGGGAGAGTTCAGGGCAGGCTGCTTTTGTTTTAATTCAGGCAGGCCCTAACACTACAAAGTTGATGGTAGATCTAAAGTAGATTATACTGTTAGATTGTATAGTGTATGGTAATCTTTACAGAGCACAGTGCCGGTATAGCAAGAGCAATCACATGACCAGATCCCTGGGTTTTTGATATTTGGATAAAGTGGCACGTCACCACCAGCCAATCAGGGCAGAGGAGGCAAAGTAGCCAGAGATGGCCCACTTCCTAGCCATGGAGAAGCAGTCAAAGGAGAGAGCTGCCACCAGCCAATGCTAAGGGAGGGGGTGTTGCTGGCAGAGCAGTGCATGTTGCCCAACAGCCAACACATGGGCCAGAAAGATGACATAGACGTGTGCGACACTCCGGATACTAATCATGTCCCGTCTATAACAAAGGCCACTGTCATCGTTCTGCAAAGCTTCAATATTACGCATGACAGATTGCTGAGGTTTGGCAGGAAGCCAGAAATATTAAACACAAAATTTTATTTTTTTCCCACCCACAACCCTCAAATACATTAATATGGATTTAATCTTCAGGAAGAGGAAGCGGTCGCTGCAGACTTACATTGGGTCGCTGCAGATATGTCACACAGAGATACAACCAAAGCCACAGACATTAGACAGACTTATCTTTATTGTGTATTATGTCCACGCTCAAGCTGGAACCCTTCAGTCAGACATCCAACTTTACCATAAGTGGACACATAGGGACTGATGTGTCAATGTTCTGCCCAGTGGAAGTCCATGTGCTCCTCGGCTCCATCTAGTGGCGGGAATCCGCCAGAATCGCATGCGCCCAACTACACACTCGGCGGAACGTTTATACATCAGCCCCATAGTATCTACAAACACAAAACTTCCAATTCTTATTCATGCATTAATATCCAGCACCGGGCCTCCTTGTTCTGAAATTTCCCAGCCTGCACTTGTGTAAGCCAGGTATCCTCAAATTCCCGGGTCTGCCCATCTGGAAATGTAGCATATCATAAACTGCAGCACTGAATGCTTGCCAAGTCTGTGTTCCTTCTGCTTAACATGGTAATGGAAAGACTGATATACAAAATGTAATAAGGATGAACCAAGTAGACATTTTCCGTGATCCTTACATGGAATGAAAATAGTTTTTTTCAGGGTAACAACAGAGCTTATGCACCGGTTAATCCTTAAATCTTAAAACTGTGCCCGTGTAAAGCCTATTTGTTCTTATGCCCAGGTTGGCTCATGGGGCACATGACTTCTGCCCAAGTCAAGATTAAAGGAGAACTATGGGGTAAGTGTTTTTCCCCATAGTTCTCCTAAGGGTCACGGGAGGACATATACTAGCGTCCTCCCGTAACCAAAAGCTCAGTATACCGCGAGCTACAGCTCCCGGTATACTGAGATCGCCGCAGCCGGGACGGATCCCGACAGCTGCGTGATTGGCAGCTGTCTCTGCCTATCTAGAGGCAGAGCCAGCTGTACCCGCCCCCCTCCCCGTCCGTTCCGCCAGTCAGAGCTGGAGGATCGGGCCCGGGGAGGGGGAATCCCTGCGGGGAGCTGTAAGTGACAGTCACCTCTCTCTGCCGGGACAGGATCGAGAAGTGAGCAAGTGACGCTATGTGTTCTCTCACTTCCCGATCTATAGAGCCGACGTGTGACAGTTTAATTGTCGCACGTCGGCTCGAACTATGAGCCTGAGTTAAAATCACCTCATAGTTCTCCTTTAAGCCCTACCTACTCCTGGTAATAAGCCTGCCTTCAAATGTTCAATGTGGAGGCTTTACCATTTGACCGACGAATGACAAAGGATGGGGTTTAATCTTCTTAATCTTCATTGTGCAGAGGTTGGGTTCCATTGTGCTGCCTAGAGAGAAGTATGGACACCGGCACTCCAAAATGCAAGTCAAATGCGTCTATTTATTGACGCGCAAGTCAAATGCGTCTATTTATTGACGTGCAAGTCAAATGCGTCTATTTATTGACGTGCAAGTCAAATGCGTCTATTTCTATATAAAAATGTAAAAAAGTAAAAAAATAAATAAATATAAACAAACAATAAAAAAAAAATTCAACTAACCCTGCCGCCCCTGCCATCCGGTTGCCATTGAGGAACCTGGCCTTGGAGCAGCAGGGAGAGTAAATCTGGCCCTGTCCACAGGGATCAGTCTGAAGACTAAATTACCTTGGAAAGATGTTCAGTCAGGTTCAAGTTTAAATGACCTTTATAAATAATGCAGCGATAACCCTCAGTGATTGTTCCTGGTGTGTCAGATAAAATAATGTGATCTTCTATATACCACAGAATAGAATATTTCAAGGTCATGGGCTGCTGATTTCCACTGATGTTTATGAAATCTCAGGAGATCCTCGATTCTCATTACTCTTCACATATTGTATATTTCATTGTGATTTTACCTTTGTCCAATTGGAAGATCAATATAGACATATGTATGTTGGACTTAAAAAAAAAATAAAAAATCCATTCCAGTTGGATCATCTAACAGTGTCCATGTATTTGCAGCTTAAAAGAAGAAAGAAGAAGGTGCTGAGCCTGAAGCAGAGGTGAGCAGCAGAAGGTGCAGCAGTGGTTTGGGATGTTGGCGCAGAAAATTTCTGTAAGATGTTTTTGTTTTTCAGGATTCGGAGGGGAGGATGGGAACCTCCAGTGGCTCCCGCACATCACTCAGAAGCAGCTCCGGCTTCTCTTCTTAGACCCCCATCGGAGGTGGAGACCCCTGATCTGCTCCCAGAGGTGCTCTACATGCTGCAGAGTGTCCGGTGAGACTTACAGTACTCAGAAGGCCTAATACAATTGTGCTGTTCTCTTCCAAGAGACTGGTTCTCTCTTGGTCCATAAACAGGTGTGATCAGATATAGGAGCTGTACAAAGGGGGCATTCCCCACCCATCTAGCAGGCAGG